GCTATTCTATATTTCATTCATTCCATTGCAGCACATATTCATCGTTGTTGGCTAACGTTTTACACGCTTAGCGTAAAATTTTCTTCTATATTTTGTTTTGTTTTGCTCGTCAAATTTATTTTATTTTCACGCCACCGTTTGATCCTTCTCTTATTTGTTTTTTTTTTTAGCCCATTGACTGTGATGTAAAATGTGAATGTGTCGTGTCGAATGTGAAAATATTTTAATTTAAAGACTTTTAAAAAAAAAAAAAAAAAAAAAAAAAAAAACTTCCGTTGATTGTTTGAATGAAGGAGGAGGAGGAGAACTCTAAAGTTCACTAAGTCCAAAATCCCGTTTAATGGCAAATTTATATTTTTCGTCTCTTCTTTGTGAGTTAGTTAGTAAAAGAGTCATTAATTCCAAATCTCTCACCTCTACCTTATTTCTACTTTGATTAATTAATAGTCTTTTTAATTGATGAATAAATCAAAATATCATTAAATGAGAAGAGTTTTTTTTTTTTTACTTTCGGCAATCATTTCATCAATCGTTCAATACTATTTGTAGGTATACAAATAAATTTTTTTTTTTTTTTTTTTTTTTTTTATGATGAAATTTAACTTTATTTAAAATATACTTGCTTGTTAGAAAGCTTAACAGTCAAACTATTCCTCATCATGAATATATCTATGGTAAGGATTTTACTAGAATAGAAGATAATTGGGGAAGAAGTTTTTCCAAATTCTATTTTTCCGCGATAATATTATTTTCCTTTTTAGCTTTTCTCTACATGGCCCCCGCCCCCGTCCCTAAAATGCCACACGAAAAACAAAAACGAAAGGAGTTTACGCAATCGCTTTATATCTACGTATATCTTAACACAACAAAAATGTATGGAAATATTTGAAAATCGTTAGAAGAAAATTGTTCATAAACTATATGTAATGATGGTATCTTGATGATTTTGTAGTAAGTAGTGCAGCCGGTATGTGTGCCATATTTATATCTGATAGGATAGTCAATATCGTGGTAATTTTGGATGTGTTTGAGAGAGAGAGAGAGAGAGAGGGATAGATAGATAGATAGATAGATAGATAGAGAGAGAGAGATTAGCAGATATATATATGTAGTCCAATTGTCCAATTTGCGATTAATTTATTAACCAGTAGCGCGTAATCCCCTCCTATCCATTTCTCCGCACTTACACTCACTAAAAAAATGGAATGATTTGTTTTAATGCATCGATCTACTATGCACAAGAAGTGCACGCCGTGTGTTGGTAAATTTTCAATTTATGAGTAGTAAGTTTCCTGTCTACTCTGCCAGCAATCGCGCCAAAGGTACTCTTTTCATAATTATTCACAAAATCACGGACGGCTGTGGAATCATTATCAATATCAATGGCAAACAAAAGTCGCTTTAATATGCGTCGACGTGTGCGAATTGATTAAAGTACATTTAACGACTATTCCAAGAGTTTGAAAGCACGATCGGAATAAAGTTTTTTGTAGCATTTTTTTTTTCTTTTCTTTTGCTTCTATAAAAACACTTTTTTTTTTTTTCTTTTTTTCTTTTACTCTCTCTTTCACTAGTTTTCTTAAACTCATATAATAATGGATAAAATGAAGAGAAAATTTTTAAATTTCCATTGTTTTGAATATTTTAATTCTTAGTTAGAAAAAAAAAACAAAAAACAAAAAAAAAAAACAGAAAAAATTTACAATACATCAGTTAATTAATTTCTATGACTAAGTGAAGAAAAATATTTTTTGTTTTCGCAAAATTCGATTTCATTTATCCATTTATAAACGTTCTCTTGAATAATCCGGCGCTTGTTTGATAAAATCGTGCTTAAATCTTCCTCATATAGCTTTGTGAGCTTCGGCAATGATCATTTTTTCCTTAATGCGATCTGCAGAAACAGATAATACTGCACTGGGGAGCAGAGATATTTGGCATTGCGTATAGGATGCAACGATGCACTTGTGGCACGATGCCTTTCTTTTATTGTAAATATAAGCGATACCAATAAGGGAAATAGCCTCCTCTTGACCATAGTGATTGCATATCGTTAGGTTGTCACCTATCCTTTGCTTTACAATTAGAGAGAATGATTTTCGGGAGCAACCCTTTTGGTCGGTCAGTGCGTTCAACATTGCCGGTGTTCATATGAGACTGCTTACAAATTGTTGTTGTTTTGGCTTAGAAGAGAGAATATATATTACATAATAATAATATATCGCGTGTTGTTCGGATTTTTCTATAGTTTTGAAAAATAATGAAAGGCAGATCACTAACTACCCTACTTTCTACCTAACCGTAACTTGTAAATAACTTACATAAGATTTGGGCAGAATATATATTTTGTACTCGAAGCAGCATCTTTTTTGCTAGTCGTCGTCCCCCCCGCCCCCCACCCTTTTTTTTTTTTTTGAGGTTTTATGCTTACTTTTATCATAAGGCAAACAAGACCGAATGTTTAAAACTGTTTTGTACATTCCTTAAATGAAGATATTATCTGCCTAAAAATAGGTTAATTTTAATATGACTATAGTAGGCAGCGCGATTAATTTTTTCTTAATAATACCAGCGATATGGGTATCAAATTAAAGAACTTGGAGAGTAGAACAAGAAAAGCATAGCGGCGGGTATGCGAGATTCTCCTCGCCCCCGCCGAATATAACTTTCTTAATTTTTTTTTTTTTTTTTTTTTTTTTTTTTTAAAGATTGCGTCTGCAGAATTTTATATATATGTCAAGTTTCTGCAGGCACATTACAATGGGCCTGACTGAATGCTCAATGGGTGATTATGAATGTTTTGTTTTGTAGACAACGGTAGTGGGTTGGGTTCACTTGGTTTATTTATTATGCTCGCAAGCCCAAGGCTGATATTTGGAAGTGCTTAACTTTTTCAAAACCTTTTTGGTCCCCTTTTTTTTTTATATTGTAACCGACGATCATTAATTGTTGTAAGAAATTTTTTGTTTTTGCAATCAAGAAGCGATGCATTATCAAAGCGATCTTTCTCCTACCTTAATACGTCAAAATTTCTAATTTTTTAAAACTGTATATGTTCACGCAAAGTACTACTACGCTTTCGCGGCGAATATATTTTGCATTTCTTATGAATTTTTCTTGCTTAAGGGATGCCGCGGATTTGTCCTCTACTCTGTTTGTTTGGAAAACGATACTAAAAGAAGTAGTTTCCTTTTTTTCCAGTATATGGGCATGGTCAAAAAGTGAAAGTGAAAACAATTTTACATGGAGCAGGGGAAAATAAGCAAAAATGCTTTTAAACTGATCCTACGCAGATTGCTTGGCAAATATTTAATTAGGAGATCAATTCTCAATAGGCGAAGCATGCTCAAGAAGATGTCTCTAGGCAGGCAAGTATATTGACATTTGAAAATATTAAAATTAATCTCGAATTGTTTTAATCGACGCTTACGGATATTTAAGTACAAATAAGAAGACATTCACGTATTAATCGCATATTCAAGCTTTAGTCGGTATATCAAAATTAGTAATGGATGAAAAGAAAGCATTTCCCTCCCCAAAATATAAATTTATTTGGGACGATTTTGGGATTTAACAAAGTAGAGTGAACAAATTTGAAATGCATGAATGAATGGATGGAGAGAAAAGGAGAGAATATTTAGGGGAATTGCAGATATGTTGTAATACATTAAAGAATATTAGTCGGTATTGACAGGGATATATGAAGGGAATTAATTGAATCGATTTTATATTTAATAATATCCGGTTTGAGAGCTTGGAAGTTTGTTATCCTTATGGTGACTTGAGTATAAACGACCTTGAATCTAACAAGGTGACTTAATTGGGCAAATATTATTTTGTTATGGCCATAGCAGTAGTTGTCTTTAGCGATCCCAGTGAACGTATAGCTGTAACTGCTCATATGATGTTGGATCCAACGGCTGATCCACACCATAATAATGTAAGAAATATTCTTGTTGTGAAGCGAAAGTTTACAATTTTGTTTATTTTATTTATTTATTTATTTATTTATTCATAAATTTTTTTTTAATTTAAATCAGAATCGGGAAAAATGATGGAAAATCTCTGACTCTGACTTATGGTCTCAGATATTTTCATAAAATTTTGTCGATGCCAATTGCACTATGTAGAACTGGTTTATATGACCAACTTCTTAACTCATTACTTACTACTGACCTGTTTTTTTGTTTTTTTTTTTTTGTTTTTATATTTTTATATCTTTAATGACTATAAAAAAAGAGAAACAACCTACCCCACCTCGCTTCTCCGTAGGCATTAAAACTTACGCATATACATGTATATGTGTAGATATTATTTTTACACGCGCACGCGAGTTCATTGTCACACGATTAACTTAAATTTTTTGTTTCGTATTAAAATATTTTTACAGCATTCACTCGCTTTAATATATTATTTTATGCATTTAATTTTTGTTTTCTATCTGTGTGTGCGTGTAGCTAAAAATCTATTCAAAGTGTGCTTTTGCAAATGCGATAACATGGTAGCGAGCGTGAAACTGCACATAGCACATGTGACGCTTGCCACTCTGTTACCTTTGAGAGACTGAAATCCTATGCATAAAACAACGAAATCTTTAACGACAACAACAACAATAATAACCTGAATATGTTTAATTCATGAAAATTTCAAGATTAACATATAAAAAAATCAAAAGAGAGGGAGAGACAATATATGTGTATATGAGAGAATATAATTATTGTAAATACTAAGAATTTTGAATAGAAAACGAAATATAAAAAAAAAAAAAAAAAAAAAAATAAGAAGATATTCAGAAAAGAGAGTAAATTAGAAGTAAAGCATTATTAGAAGAACGTGAATTTGTTTGTTGGTGCGAATTGTTGGCGGCAAGATTTCAACTTGGAAATGAAAACAGAATTTACATATATATCACAAAAGCAAACATGTGTGTAGCATTATATCGTTGAAGATTATTATTATTATTATTATTATTATTTCTTTTTTGTTATTTTGATTTGCAGTCAAAGAAAACACACAGCAGTAACCTGTAGCTACCTTTGGCTATTGTAGGTGGAAAATATCAAAAAGAAACGATATCAACGTTATAACAGCAGGAAAAGAAAAATGTTGTCTTTACCGTATTAAATGGCTTTGATTATCGGATTTTTTTTATCCCGATAACGAAAACAGGAACAGCGTAAGCACTAGGAAAATTATTAAGACTCCCTAAGCCTTTTTGTGAGAAGCAATGAATGTTACCAATAGGCGTAAATCAACAGATACGGAACAGCAACAACAACAGCAGCAACAGCAACAGCAGCAACATAATCCTCAACAACAGGTAATTGCTTATGTTAGTTGTCGCCAGGCAGCCAGCGCAACGGCATTAAATTCATTGCGCGCCTCGACGGTGGAAGAGCAAGACCAACTAGTAACGTCCACGTCGAGTGAATGTCTCTTGCCGTTGTGTGAAGGTGAAGGCGAGGAGATAGCGCTTGAATTGGATTCATTGATAACTTCACCGGCTCGCATTAGCAGCAGCACAGTGGGTTACGATGCAGTAGCATATTCTTCAGATGCCGTAAGCTCGGAAGAGGTTATGCCCTCAACTTCAGAGCATGCTTTAAATGCATTGGTCGCGAGATCAGAGGCCGGTACATCTTCAAGAGCCCTTCAACTTAGTATTAATAGCAACAGAACTGCCAAAATAAACGAGATGGTCGCCCGCGATATGGCGCCTACCACGGTAGCAGGTGGTGCAGGGACTTCACATGAAATGAATACAGCAGCTACTAGCCGTAATAGTGGCAGTGATTCACTGTCCGCGAATGAAAATCATAAAATCATATTGAAACTAAGCAAAACGTCTACAACAGCACCGGAATCTCAAATATGTCAAATAGCACCACCGAGCGTGGTTGGGAACGATGATTTACGCAAAGTAGAACCCTTGAAAATCAACCTGCATGGTTCGCATTCACATCCCACCATTAAAACGCCTGACGTTACTGGCTCATCAGAAGAATGTTCCTCCTCAGCCGAAGATGAGATAGTCTGTAAAAAGCACAGCCACGAGCCGCATATAGTGCCCAAGTTGACAATAAGAGCGGCTGTAAATGAGGAGCACGGTACATCGCATACCTCCATTGTACCTAAGTTGACTATAAAAATAAATGATTCGTCCTCTACGGATATAGGCGGTAGTAGCAGTGGTAGTGGTGCAATGCAGCCCGCGGCCGCTACGCCTCCGCTGCCAAAGTTAACCATTAAAACTGGTGTAGATGGCCATAGCGAATCAATTATTAGCAATGTTTCACCTGCTTCAAGTACCACGTCCTGTTCGTCATCTTCGAATTCATTGTCTTTGTCCTCTCCAGCCATTAATTGTTTAAATAATAAATGCTTAACGAGCGGTAATACATGCGCAGCGGGTGTCCAAAGCATACCTAAAATAACTATTAAATCGTTACAAAAACCCGCAGAAAAAGAAAACTCTGAAAATACTGCCAGCAACAGTGCGGCGATTGGGGCATGTGTTGGAACAATACCCAAACTAACAATTAAGACATGTTTACCGATTTGCAATGAAGCAATGGACGATTGTTCAAGTGCTAAAATACCCAAATTAACTATAAAAACGGGACAGGAGCATGCCGTTATAATAACTCAGCATAACGACAGTATAAACACATCAGGCATACCCAAATTAACTATAAAAACCAAGTCACTGGATATCCCGGAAGATGGCAGTGAGTCACCGGTAAACGAAATTAACGAAAAAATTCCAAAAATTACTATAAAAACTTCCAATAACAGTGAAACTGCAGCGGTCGTACCGAAACTTACGATCAATGTGGCGCAACTGGAAACTTCTAATAGTCCGTCGTCTCCTAAACAAGCTGTACCGAAACTAACAATATCCCGCCAACAGACGGACATGATTGTCACGAATCATCATTTGCTTGCGCTGTCCGCCAATGAACATGAAGTGACTGTACCTAAGATGACAATCAAAACCCAAAATAAAGGAGACATAAAATCGAAACATAGTTTAAAACCTTTAACAATAAGACGAACTTCTCCCATAGAAAGTAGTGGCGGTGGAGGTGCAGGCGATGATTCTACAGAAGGTGAAATGGAAGAAGAAAGAGAACGGCAGGCTATGGCGTCAGCTAAGTTAGTACCTAAATTGACTATCAAAAACTTGGGATCACCGAAACTCAAAATGAAAGTAGTCCGAGAAAGTGACCCGCAAGTAGATGTATCAGTGAGCAAATCGGCATCCGCTGCCTATACAATAAATGAAACGGTTGTTGGTGTTGGTGTTCCTGCTGCAAGAAGAGAACCCGGAGAATTCGATGAACTTATACATGTAGCCAATGGTGGAGAGTCCAGCAGTAGTCAGGAATTTTGTGGTTTCAGTGACAACATTACTAATGCAATGGTATTGTTTAGCAACTGCAGCGACGTACAGAGAGTCGAAAAGAACCGACGCAACTCAGATGATATGGATATTGACGAGACTCTTCAACAGCAACATGATCCTCAAATGTTTAACAATCTAGAACACTTTACTGAACACGACCCTCCCATAACTGTGACAAATGGTTCTTTAGCACCACTTAAACTACCGTCGCAAGCGGCGCATATTATTGATACAGTAGATCTGACGTCTTCTCCATCGCCGGGTAATTCACCAGCTCATTTCAACTACAACGAGGAGAGTAATTGTGCGGTCAGTGAAGCTCCGAAAACAGTTCCAGCTACAAATATATTGCTCGAGTGCTTGCAGAGGGAACCTATACCTCCACCTTTACGAATGCCATCGCAACTGTACGAGCAGGTAGCTTTGCCAACTTTACAAACTAATCTTTGCACTGTCAGTCCGGCCTCCTTAAAATATCCGCAACTAGCTGAACGTTTGATGGCAAACGGCACCTCTAACATAAATATTTTATCGCAGGCTGCGTGTGCGATAACCAACCACAATGCAGATGTCCTATCTAGAGGAACGGTATCAGAGAAAATCATTGATTCTATTGAAATTCTAGACACACCTGAAGGGAGCCCACGGCGTTCCTTAGATGATAGACCTGGAGCAATAAGTCCTGTTCTGGATAATCAGAAATCCGTGCTACCCAATGGCTTGCATAGCCACCAACATCATTTAGAGACAAGCAATGCGTCTCTCGAAGTTTTCTCACACAACAATAATACGGTGATCACTTCAACTTTTGCAAATAACACCAATTTAAAGAGACCCGCTTCTATTTCAACACCAGATAATTGCAATGATATGGAATTGGATATGACACCGATTAAGCTGCGTTGCATTGAAAATGATAGCAGTACTATGGCGACAGTGACTTTTCTGACAGATAACGACAGAACGTCCTCACCAACGGTAATAATGACGTCTCCTACTCAAATCAACAATGTTATGTCTCAGTGTCAAACGACAGAGAGTTTTCAAAAGAACGAAGCTGTCGTACCAGTAACATCGTGTAATGTCCCACAAAAGGCTCAAAGTGCTACCACTACTCATCAGAGATTAAGAAAACAACGTCATGAGCACTTATTGCCAATATCCATGGATGAAGTGGACCCCACCCAACTTAATTCTAACGATAGTTTGGATTTAAATCGTATTAATACTACAGATAACGTAAGCGAGCTAACGGCGGTTACTCAAGGCAAAAGACGTGGCAGGCCGAAGAAGTCTTCTATTGACATGAAGGATGCTAACGCCACACCTGTATTGGCTGCAACCGCGGCTGAGCAAGCCTCTAAATCGCGACGGGTGCAATTATTGCGTAAACGTTTAGCGATTGATATGGTGGCTGCTGAGCAGCCTTTACCTATCATAGATGAACAATTGGAATCAACAATAGCAGCAGCTAGCGGCGATGACAACAGCAGCAGACAAGATCTTGAGGATTTAGAAACACCAAAAAGGGAACGCACTCTACGTGCACCTTTGCGATCGTCACGGCGTAGTCAGACACCCACGGTAAATGTAACAACAGAAACTAAAGTAAAGACACGAAATAGTAATGTTAACACAAACACCCCCATAACAACTGACAGCAAATGTACAATGATGACCTCAACAATACAGCACAAAAATAATGCTAGTGAAAGCATACTCAATCATTTTGGTGGCGGTTCAAACTCCAGTATGTCATCTGTCATCTCTACCTGTTCAGCTAGTTTAATGACGAACGCAACCAGCGCTATGGTGACAACCGCAGGAGCTAGCAATAGCAATGTGTTAAATATGGCCGCACAAATAGATCTTACCATGTCTTCGTCGTCGTCATGTGCTAGTAATAGTAGCACTACGGCTACTACGACAACAGCAGATGTTGGTGGCTCTTTGCAGTCGCAGCAAACCAACAGTAGTAGTGGTGGCGCCGGTGGCGGCATTAGCGTCAGCTGTGTAAGCGGAGGCGTGGGTGGCGGAGGAAGTAGTAATAATTCTATGTTACCACCAACGACTATTCTCTCATCTTCAGATCCTTTACCAGATGTGGTATTTAGACCAAATGATTTTTCCTCCATAATCGTAACTCAGCAATTAAGACCTCCCCTATTTATGACGCGGACGCAAAATGAAATGCAAGATGAAGAAATGAGAGCTCTTATGGATGATAATCGAAATGAAAGTAGCGCTGACAATTCGGGAGGTAAGTAAATGGAATGTAAAATTCATTTTCGAGACATATAGGTACACTCACTCTGTCCGATTTATTTTATTTGTTTGATGAAGTAGTCATCCACACATATACACACATATATGTTATGTTACGTTAATATAATATTAAATATAATTTTTCATATCATATAGGTATTTTAAAGAAGAAGAACATTTCGATTTTCTCTGTTTCTCTCTGTTTTATCAGTGTGTTAGTTCTTTAAGAAGCACTCGAAGTAAATTTCTTACGTCTACTAATTGATTTTATTTTATAGATGATTCGGCGACAAGCACCTCTTCCACATCGTATACACTTGGTCGTGGTCGTGGCCGGGGTAGGGGCAGTCGCGGTGGTGCTGGCCGTGGTGGTAGTGGCCGCGGTCATCGAGCTCATCGTTTAGGACGTGGCGCAAGTGCCGTTGCTAAAGCCATTGCAATGAGTCGGCCGCGTTGCGTAGGCGCTCTTAAACATACCCCCGATCCCGAACGTATTAAAGGTCTTTTCAGTCCAGTAAGTAGAATTTTAATAAATCAGTAAATACCCGAGCTAGCTTATTATTTAAACAAATGCAATCGATAAGCGCTACTATATCCATATCCATCCGAAAGTGTGCGCAAAAAATATTCCAACCTATTGAGAAAAACTCCAATTTTTATAAAGAGCATATCCAAACGTGGTAATGTGGTTACCTTCATAAAAATGATGAGCGTATATCAAGTTTATCAACCTATTCGTAAAATGGGCCTATTTTCGTAGGGAACTTCCTTTCCAACTTCATGCTGCCTCTTGCAGTCTCTTTTAAACTCTGCCTATTACATAATATTTCAACATATTTTCAGTAACGAGATCCCTCTTTATAGCAACTTGAATGCACTATTAGCACTAATTTACGATCGTTATAACCCTTCTAATAAACTACTAGTTAAAATTTTATAGTGTTTTAATTTTGTAAATTAAATACAATGTGCTTGATGGCAGCAACTGTAGACGCGCTTATGTCATTTTACAGTTATCATAATTGATAGTCATCTAAGTGATCATCATATTTGGGTTGGATGTCTTCTAGAAAACTTACGTTTAATAAATGATATATACCTTAAGCAACAAGTCACAAGTGTGCACGAATGTGAGAAATTTGCTGATGATACTACGTGTTTACGTTTGAGGGACGTGGAGGTATCCGTCTGCAATCTATTTTCAAGACATATTAAAAAAGTTTGAATGCTCATGTCGTGAAAAACTTGAACGTCGTGAAGGTCAGAAAATGGTTGGTTTCTCATCTAGAGGAGGCAATCGATGATGTGGCAGTTAGACTATAGAGTCTCTTTCGGCACAGTCGCAAAATAAAAAAAGTTGATAGCATAACTATATCGGACAATATAAGAAATATCGTCAAGATCCAGATGTGGTTTATGGAAGTCGTGGTAACGAGGGCCATAACCTTACGACACATTACCAAAGAGGAGTAGTCTTAACGATTTATTAAGTACTTCTGAGCAGGCAGGATTAGATTCTAATCGTCCGTTCAGACTATGCGAATTCAATAGCCTCATATAAGTATCTTGGTGTTCGTGCCCATTTGACCTTGTGGCGAAAATCCAGATTTCTGGTATTAGAATGTGTTGGAAGATCAGTACCCAATATCTCTAAAGAATATTATGATATCCTATCTTGTTTCCGCTTGTTAAAGATATCTGTCTGTTTTTACTATAGTTTGCAATTTTTTGTTAGGTACGTAATCTAATTTACCTACCACACATGTATATAGACTCCATACGATATGAGTGCCAGCGTCAGATATTTAACTAATCTTAAGTTGACCAACCGGAGAGCTGGACAAGCATAGCTTTTCTAAATATATGGGTAATACGCATAGTCGTGAAATAAACATATCTCTCAGTACGCAAGCGAGGGTTGAACTTAAAACTTAAGGAATGGGAACCATAGCTTGTAAAACGATGGCTTTAGTTTTGGCTCAAGTTTAACTTTAACTTTAACTCAGAAGGTTATTCAATTAATCGTCATTTTCTTAATGCGTTAATTTATTTTGGAGCATTAATAAAAGTGCAAAGCATTCTTGATCAATAATTGCCATACATCTAGCATCTACCGTTCACCGGTGCAAAAAATTAACTGTTGTTTAGACTGTAGATCTGAGTTGGAAATTTTGCGTGGTACCAGCCTGAAGTACCTCAAAAAAAAAAAAAAAAAAAAAAAAACCACTGCTACTTTAAAGCACATAAAAAGTTCAAAGCGAGTACTTATCAGGGCTATTTAAATATTCAAATAGAAAAAAAAACAAAAATGATTTTTATTGTCTTTGAAACACGTTCATAATCTAAAAATTACTTGGTTTCGATGTTGATTTCGCCTTGATTTGAGATAAAAGTCGTTCCAGAACTTCTCTTCAAAAAACAGACAAATTTAATTTTCTTATCGCAATTCAAAGAAGGATTTTCAAAAAATTTTTTAAATGCTTGTAGCGAATTGAATTTATATACTTTAAGGGGCTTTCTGAAGCTTGCTGCGTCCACGCGTTAAAAATGTACTAAAAAAAAAAAAAAAAAGTAAATTTTGTTACACTATAATATTGAATGGGCGTGGTTAATTTTTCCAATTTTTTTACAGATACTACAGTATCGCCTGCAGAATATACGTTCAAATCTACTGCAGTTTATAAGTAATGAGTAAAAAAAAAAACCCAATTTTTGATTTCTTTCGAAAAACCGAGTTTCTCACAGTTTACGTGGTATTGTAGGCGTCTCCTTCGATCGTTTTGACTTAGTTTTAATACTAACCTGCTAGCAAGAACGTCCGATGATTCTGTCAAATTTGAAATTGATAGCTTCATTCTGGCGGCAAGGAGTGTGTTTACAACAGATATTATATAGACGGGGACAGACGGACAGGCTTCGTACGGTCTCTCTAGAGTTTACTTCTGGATGTTGCAAAGGGAGTTAACACAGTTAGTATATATATCCTCATGGTTCGCATGCATGCTTTTACATAAATAAAATTGTTAAACAGCGCGCGCACACAACTTTAACACTTTCTATTTTCTTACCTAAGAACAAAAGACAGCAGGACATAAATATTTTGTTTAATGAAAGGTTTTTCCCCCTTTTAACTCGTGCTTCCTGACGATTGAAATGATATTTCGAATTATACGATGGGTAGCGCGTGATCGCTGCGTAACATATGCGCGTGTAAAACGTATTTAACGTATGTAGGAGGAGTCAACAGGGAAATCTTGAGAAAGCAATTTACAAGTCTACCTAATACAAGCGATTGTAATATTTTAAACAATAGGTTATGCAATTATTTACGAGCAAAAAGCGGAAAAATAAAGCAAAAAAAAAGAAGAAAAAAAAAAAAATATTAAACGCAAATCCAAACACGAATGACGCATAAATCGTACACTGAAAAAAGTGCACTTTTTTTCTTCTTCTTTTTTTTTTTTGTTGTTGTTTTTTTTTTATATATATATACGCTTTGCAATGCGGCGGTGCCTGCTCTGCTGCTCTTCGCAAAATTTCTATATTTCAACATATGTCGTAAGGATGTTTAGTGTTGAAAAAACACACAGGCGTTTATATCTGTAAAATACATAATAATAATTATATTACTACATATATTCACACTTTAGCTTACCACATTTATTGGGGCAATAATGTGTTAGACGTACGTCCAAGTCTGTTTTGCTCAAGCGAGGCATTTGAATTTTTTGCTCTTTTTTTTTTTTTGCTTTTTTTTTTTTCTTTCTTTTTGCGTGACTTGTGAATTTATTACACTTGCCTCTATTTTACATATATATACATGAATTGGTTATAAAGCAAAAGCGTTTAGTAATGGTGCAAATTTTAAATTGAGTCTCTTTTTCTCTCTTTTATCTCTTTAAATTGCCTTTTGTTTTCGCCGCTCTGTCAATAAGAAAAAAGAAAAGCAAAAAAAAAAACCAACTTAAAATTGCCGACTATGTTCTCTCTTGGTCTTGTATTTTAGTACGCCGGCGGGGGGGGGGGCCCTTCCTATACTTTTTTTTTTTTTTTTTTATTGTTGCTCTCTTCGTTCACTTAAAACTTAAAAGGTTAAACTCGGGTGTCCGATTCATTCGCCTTGTGTGCGTGATATCTGCATCGAAGAGGAGGACCATATAGAAGAGAAAATTTCGTGCGTTGTGTGGTGAATTACAGTAAAAGAGAATTGTGTTTGCCTTTCATTATATGTAACGGCATATAATATAAAAATGTTCAATTTTTTCCATCTACTCACCATTTGATTGGTTTGTATTGCTTCTATGCATAATTCCATAGCTAAAACTGAGTCTGTTTTCCTCCAAAACTTTTGTAAATGCCTCTACACAACAGTTCACTAATCGATTCTGGATGTTATGTCCAATTTTCAGTAATCGTGTCGAGAAATGAAATCATTTAAAGTCCGGAGCAGATTTTGGTCTTGCTCAATCAAACTCCGAACGAAAATCACCGACATACGATTCATAATTTATTCCAAAAAAAAAAGAAGGAAATGCTCTTACTTTGTTCCTTCCTTCTCGCTTTTCACATCCAATATATCATGCAATCAATATTTGAAATATCGGCATAGGGGTTTCAGCTTTCATTCAATTCTCTCGATACCTTGATATATGCACAAAAAGAAAAACAAAAAAAATGAGGCGAATGAGGCTTTTTTTCTGGGTTAGTTAGATAGTTTGACAATTTCATTGTAAATTGAAATTTATATCTGATTTGTTTTATTTTTGCAGTCGCCTCAGGTATTTGAGGAGGATACTCGCATGAGTGCCGACTTAAGCCAAATTCAAGTATCGCCAGCACAAGTAGGGTCTCAATTAGAAATATCACAAATACGGTAATAAATATGTTCACTGAATATTAAAATCACAAGCTATTGTTGGTTGTAAATAATTTTCGCAGGCAACCGGAATTTTTGAACAATGAAGAATCTCAATCGTCGGTGGTTAGCTGTAATAGTATTTTGGATCCAAATGTCTCTCAAATGTCTATTGTACCCTCCACACCGCAAAATTCCTCTACTGCTGGCGGTTCTGCATCAACCGTTAAAAAACCGAAAAAGAAAAAAATGGAAGTGTGCGTGGCCGAAGAGTAAGAGTCTTTTGCAATATCTGAAGAACGGGTTTTCAAATGTTTTTTTTTGTTTTTTTTTTTGTTTTTTATAGTACGGAATTTACGGTAGCCTCGATAGCAGAATATGATTGGCCACCGCCTAAGGGTTGTTGTCCCTCCAAAAATCGTGACACATTTATGATACAGGAGCAGGTTGCTTTATATTTGGGCATAAAAAGTTTCAAACGAAAATATCCTGATCTGCCACGTCGTCAAATCGATATGGAAGAACGCAATTGGCTACAAGAGAAGGGACTGGTGTCTGAGAAAATGTGCGATTTAGGCATTACCGCTGTATGGGCCTCTGATATATTGGACATTATGTACACTGACTTTTATGAAAAGTACGAGGAATATAAAGACTTTGTAAGGCAAAAGCATTTACGCGAAATAGAGGCTAAACAAAAGGCATTGGGCTTGAATGTGACCGGTCGAGGATTGCAAGCTCGTGATCGGGCCATGCTGTCGGCTAGCAAGTGGAATGCATATTTTAATAAGACGTAAGTGCAAGGGAATGTTCTTAGGATTTTTTAATTAAAGTCGTTTTGTTATGATGTAATGCATTACTATTTCATATAAAATAGACGTAAAGAAGAGCGTTTAAATTGCTTGGATCTACAAACGTTTACGATCAATAAACCGATGCCAGCTACATCTCCTACAGCCACTCTAGTTAACCGTCCTGTAGCTGAGGCTGTGGCAATGGCAGTCAAATCAACGCAGCTAACCGAGCCTCCCACATTATTAAAAGTGCGTATAAGTGATCCGCCACCGCTAAGAGATATCTATTATCCGTTGTCTTTAGTGCCAGGACAATTTTGTGAGAAATACTATGATTACACCGCCCAAGAATTAAGGCAAGCTTTCAAAATTCAATAATTAATTAATTGCATTTAGGTTATTAAGTAAACAACAACAAAAATAACAATTATATAAACTTTTTAGACGTTTCCCTCTTAACACACTCCTGGATCCTATGCAAGGACTATATGCTTCGAAAACTATTAATAATAGTTGCAGCACTGATACCGACTCGGCGGCTGAAACAGCTGTTACAGATAAAAATTTCAATACCTGCCCAAGCAAGGAACGTGTTAAAAAGCGACGTTCAAGAAGAGCACGTACAAAACTTTCCAGTAAAAGAGAAGACTTTAAATTACCTCACTTGCCGGGTCATAAAACGTTGGCTAGTTCTACTGAATCAGGGTCAGGTTCAACATCGGAGGATAGTAATTCAAGTGAAACGGTAAAAAGAATTAAAAATTTTTTTTTTTTTTGTTTTTTTTTTTTTTATTTATATATATATATATTTCCGCTTTTATTAATTAATATTTTTAAATTAAATGGTAAATAGGATTCTGATAGCTGCAGTTCTGCTTCATCGTCAACAACGTCCATCGTCGCAGAATCAACAGATGACGAATTCCCCACAATATCAATTTGTTCGGTATGTCAACGACCACAAAATCGCAATCTAAAAGATATGCCCGAATTATTTATACAGTGCTATACTTGCCGGCGAAAAGGTAAGATTTTATTGCATCAAATCAAATTTCATCAATCAGTTAACGAACCGGTTTTTCTCTATATATCACTTTTACAGTTCATTCCAGTTGCGTTGAAATGCCACACCGTATGGCTGTGCGGGTACGTAACTATAATTGGCAATGTGTTGATTGCAAGTGTTGTGTCAAATGTAAACGGCGACAAGATCAAAATAAAATGCTTTTCTGTGAGCAATGCGACCGCGGTTATCACATTTACTGCCTAGGCGTTAAAGCAGTGCCGGATTGTAAGTGCTATACATAATTAATAAAGTGAAGCTTTATAATAAAGCTTATTATAAATATAATAAATATTTGCAGACCGCTGGAGTTGTGAGCGTTGTAGCATTTGTATGCGTTGTGGTGCTACTAAACCAGAAGGAATGCCTGTCACGCAACAATCCGTTTTGATGTCACCGAATGGTGAAAAACTGAAACAGGTTAAACACAAAAAAGTGAAATGGATTAATGAATATCGTATTGATCATATAACTAAATTAAGAGAACACTGTTCCATGTTGTGTGTACCGTGTGGCCGCATGAAAAGTAACAAACGTGTACAAATAGCTACTCAATTAAATACTGTGAACACTATAAATCAACAAAACACAATAACAAGTCCGTTGCATAATAATAATGTGAGCAACAACAGTAGTAGTTCGTTTTCTCCCAATAATAATAATAATAATAATAATAATAATAATAATAATAATAATAA